TCCATTCCGTGTCTGCCTTGTCGACACAGCTGTGTGTCACTCCAGGTGATGGTCCCACGTCCAGTGTTTGAAAGTAACTGAAGAGCTGAGAAGTTTTGTTCAAATGCCTTAAAAGTAACATTCAATATAATTGTCGATGTTGTTCCAACGTTTACAGTCTTCGTGCATCGTTTATGAAATAAGGCACCTTGGTTCGGTTTCAACATTGGCTGAGACTCTCCAGCAAAGCATGTCCTCATTAAGCAGCAGCCACCCACAAACAGTGCGGAGTCGCTACGCGTCGCGCCGCATTGCAGGCAGCGCTCCCGTCGGCTGACGTTAATGCCCATCAGCTGCGTCAAAAATGTGAATGCCGAAAGAGAGCATCAAATAACATTCGCGCCTGTCAATCCCCAGTGCGTCTCCCATGCATCCTCGCACTCCCTGTGCACGCGTCCTCTTCATACCCATGTGTTCCCCTGTGTCCCCGTGCATACCCCACGTGTTTACAAAGGTGTCCTTACTATGTGCCCTTCCATGTACTTCCCCATGCATCTCTGTGTCACATCTCTATGTCTCTCCCTGTGCATCTCTTTGCATCGCCACTTGTCCCCATGTCCGTCTTCTGTGTTTACCCCATGTAGCCCCCACCACGTGTACATCTGTGTCTGTTTCTCCCCATGTGTCCCCACGTATCCCTCGATATAACTCCCCTGTGCCTCCACTTGTCCCCCGTGTTTAGCATGCTCGCGGACAAGCTGAACATGTCCCCGGAGGAGGCGGAGCGTTGGATCGTGAATCTGATCCGGAACGCCCGGCTCGATGCCAAGATCGACTCGAAGCTGGTGCAGACCTTGAGCACCCACCCACCCCGCCCACCTGCCCCCGCCACCCCCCCACCTCCCCTGCCCCACTTTCACCCACTTGTGCTATGGGTATTGCATCATGTATGTGTGTATGTACGTACGTATGCATGTTGAACTTCTTTCGCACCGTACGTAGCCAACTGTGCTTATCGGAGGTGCGGGGGAAGGACCGCAAATCAAACACAAAAAGCAGTTCGAAATGAATGAGTTTTCAATCTCGATTTAAAAGTGCATAGCTCGCTTCCTCATATTGGAAGGAAGAGCGTTCCAGATGGCCGCAGAAGCACATTTGAAAGCGCGCGATGCAGTGCTCGTCTTTGTCGAGTCCATTCGAATCTCTTGCAGAGCAGTGCAAACCCTCTGCGGTAGAAAATGGCCCACTGAAGTGGATAGCACAGAGCTGCCTCTGAGATCCCTTTAAGTGATCTCGGGTCTACACAGTCGAGGGAAGCACTTTCCTATTGATCCTGCCACGTAGATTAATGCTCGTGTGATAAACTGACATTTTTTAAAATTTGCTGTGGCGCTGAGCTGTAATTTAACGAAATTAAGTGCAGAACCAAATTTGATATGATGGGAGGGTTTTTTTTACTATTCCAGCATTCAGAATGGCTGTGTCAGAGCCACTGGGCTAGGTGTGTCTTCTTGGTTCTTTCGGTAAAGTCACGTAGTAGGGAAGTAATAAAATAATAAAAATAAAACATAATAAAATAATTCTCACGACGTTTCGGCCACAACGCAAGCAGCCGTCCTCAGGTGAAGAACATGTCTGTCGATAAGACAGAGTCTAAATGACACGTCTTAGGCTTGGAGTGTCTATTTAAGCTGTGAGGGAGGAGGAAGAGAGCCTTGACAAAATAATTTGCATTTGAAGAGGAATTTAGCATATTTATGGGAAATGCAGGAATGCGAATAGTGCTAATTGTGAAATGCGTGGGAGGTGGGCGGGGGGTTTTCAAAGTCATATTATGCCCGTGCATTATGTAGAATTAGCAGCATCAAAGGGAGGGATCCTTAATTGCCATGTTATTCAGAAATGACTCAAGATTACACATTGCAATCATTGCCCCCTTCTGGCAGATATACCCATTTGCAGTTCGTTAATGAGTCACTTTGTGCCACTCGGGGTCAGCTTCCATCCGGGGGTTCACCTAGGCTCGGAAAAACTACAACTCTGCACTGATCGTTGATGCTTACTTACATTATGGGCGCAATATAAATGCAAGGATTATTATGACTATAATTCCTCGCTGTGTTTGAGAGCTGGGGCCTGTGCGTCTCTTAAAATACTACGGTGTCGTTGCTGTATGTTTGGTTACTGCTTCTCGTGTGGTCGTTGTAGTTGCTTTGTGTAGTGGGGTCACTGTGGTTGTGGTTTGCTTTGTGTGTGGTTACTCTGTCGTATAATCGCCAAGTGGTTAATTCTGTACATGTTGTGGAGTGTAATCACTCTGTGATTGTGTGCGGTGTATGGTGTAGTCACTGTAGTTAATTGTGTGTTTGCTGTGTATGTGTTGTTATGGTGTAAGTGCGCTCTTCGTGTGTAATTGTCACTAATATTGCAGCTTGGGCTGGACACTGGAGCTGGACACTGGGGCTGGACACTGGGGCTGGACACGAGCTTCATAGCTCGTCGGCTTCTTCCAGCGTCAGTCACGTGTCTTGTTTGCGGACGTTAAATGCGCTGTCACCTGTTGCCTTGCAGGGCCACGTGGTGATGGGCAACAACGCAGTGTCGCCGTACCAGCAGGTCATCGAGAAAACGAAGAACCTCTCCTTCCGCAGCCAAATGATGGCCGTCAACATCGAGAAGAAAATGTCTCAGAACAACCGCGTGGAGGTGGGTGGGGATGGGGGTGGGGGCGGTGTGCGGGGAGAGACGCGGAGGTAGCGCCGGAGAGAGGACATAAAGCGTGAGAGACAACTCGAGCTTTGTGTACGAGGCTCTTGCGCTTTTTATAGAGGGGGCTCTAAAGGTGCACCGCGTGGCCTGTCGTGGGATTGAACCATCCAACCTTTGCTACTCAGCGGCCGTGCCTCGCAAGCCACCGGATAAGACGAAAACGGCATGCTCTTGAACGCTTGGGCTTTTATTCGTTGACGATTACAGTCCGTCGTTTTGTCCGACAAGACCTTTAGGGCCGGCAGTACATGGTTCATAGCATGGGAAAACCGTGACTAACCCGAGCGTGTTTATTTTCTGCAATAATATTTGAATATACAGTTACATTTTTAGGGGCGGGGAAGTGGGCGGGGGGGGAGCTTTGGAGAGCCACTTATTGGCGTGCACTGGAAAAATACATGGTGTGCAAAAAGGTATCATCTATTATTAAAGAATTATTATTAGACAGCAGTTTTAAACTGTGCGGTCGAGACGACGTTGGCAAACGTCGTTTTTATTTATTTCTATGAAACCGAGAGGCTCGAGTGAAAAGCGCGAAACGGGCGGCGTTCAGAACGGATCGCAAAACGAAGTTGTGGTCGACCGACCGCCTGCAACTTGAAAACCTTGCTGTGACGCCAACGCCACGGCCCATGTGTGGATGTTTTAGAGGAATGAAGTGCGTGCGGTGCAGTGTTTCAAACTACCCAAGTGTGTGAGTGTTGCTGCCTTATCGACGCAGCTAAAACTGCCGTCGAATTGTCAATAGAAACAACAAAAAGCCCCACGCATTCGTCAGTGAGACACCGCCTTAAAAGGATTGATGTGTAATTGTTTGTGCTATAAATGTTTTTTAGACCATACGGTGTTATTATTGTTAATTGTGTTTGTGCACCACTGCCAACGCAGCTGCAGCAGTATCATGAAATAATTTGTCTTATTGTAAAGCTTGAATAATTGACGAAAACCTTCATGGACTATCAGAGGACACTTCACATCTGCTCACGAAAACTACAAACCCACTACACCATAGGAACCTCCTTTGCCAGTAGCAAAATATGATCATTGGTTTTTACCCTTTTATCTGGCAACAAAACTGACACCTTTTTTACAAGGAGTCATGTTTGCATTGACCACAATACCTGCGGTCAGAATGCAAACAAAAAACACAACTCTGATAATGTATGCACTGTCCTTGAAATTGATTGGTCCACACCCAAGACAGCTTTTCTTAGAGCCTAGTCTCACATGGTGTTGGACCAGATGATGCCAAAAGGCGCACAACTCAAAGACAATGCACCATCAGTATACTCCTTGTAAAAAAGGTGCCAGTTTTGTTGCTAGATGAAAGGGTAAAAAAACCACTTATGATAATACAAACCCACTAATTCAAACGCTATGGAACCACGTTGTTTAACCAATACCATTGCCCAGATTGTTATTGCTTTTGGGGACAAGATTGGCAACAGAATACTTCTTAAATAGCAAATGTTAGAGGAATAAAAAAAACGTAATGTTACACTCACGCAGCAGTGCAATTGGTGCTAATGAGGCTGGGTGAAAGGTCTCGCGCCCAGGGGAAAGAAGCCTCTATTAATGTATTGGCCTGACCATCGTGTGCTCGTGTGTTTTTAACACCGTGTTGAAGCGGCATTAGCATTATTCACGCTTATTTTTACTCGCATGTTAAAAGCTGAACGCTTAATTGTTTTTATTTTTTGACGAAGTGAATTGCCGCAGCTGCGCGTAATGGTTTTGCACTCTGGACTTGCTATCCGGAGGTCCGTTTGGTTCTATTCCATCTCTCGGTTCGGCGGTTGAAACATTGAGCTAGTTTACGAAACACACCCCCACCCCCCTCCCCATGCACCCCCACATGCGCCGCCCGCCCGCCCCCACCACCACCACCACCAGCAGTGATAAATGGGTGAAGCAGTCGGTCAATTGGCATGTTGTGTGGTGGGGTAAAGTTTGGTTACTCCGACCTCATCCTAGACGTATGGGTAGCGTGGAAGAGTAGGCCAAATCCCCTCCAAAGGGGCTGTATAGAGCTTCCTTATAGTGGACGCCCTTCCACCAGCAGTGGTGTGAGCGAGACATTGCAGGCCTGCACCTTATGGCAATAGGTGCTGTGGCCTTGTGAAAAGCAGCATCGGGATGTGGTAAGCTCTTTTGTCTGCGGACTCAAGTCGGTTGTGGAAATTCCACATTCCTATGCCAGGTGTCAGTATCTGCATGATGGCCTTCGCCTTAATGTACGAGTCTTAATTTTAGATTTGAAGTTTTCCTGACCGCAAGGATTCATACTCTTTGTTTTTTTCGGTAAAGTCACGTTGGTAAAAATTTAAATAGATAAAATAAAAATGAATGAAAGCAACTCGAATAAAATGTTATCAAATCACGACGTTTCGGGCGCAACACAGGCGTCCTTCTTCAGGTGGGGACAACGAGTCTTAATTTCCAAATTCTTTGGGCGAGCGCTTTATAACCAGGGAATGGCGCGATTATCATCTTGGCATCTCTCTCGCAATGGAGAGCAGGGCATCAGCATCCTGCCGTCACAACGGATTAAAGGGAGCACAGGGAAAGATGGGCAGTCTCTATGTATTCATCCGTTCTGAGAATTAAATACATGTGTGTGTGTGTATATATAAAGAATTCAGAAAGTTTAATATATTACTATATAGTGTGTAGAATGATGTGGCCATTTTGTGTCGTGTAGATTTGTGTGCTTTGCGTGGTATTTGTGGAGATGCGTGTGCGGTTGTGTGTTGTTGATTTGTGCATCTTTACAGAGATGAGTTGTGCGTGGGTTTGTATTACGCGGTTGTGTGAGTTTGCGTCTTGTGGTTTGTGCTCAGACTTGGAGTTGTGCGCAAGTCTGAGAAGTACCGTGCGTCGGCAGTTGCGTTGTGAAATTAGGGCACGGGTGGGTATGTGTGAGTGATTGTGTTTGGTGTACTCTGCGGGTGTTGTGTGTGCATTGAATTTACATGGCATTCCGGGATGAGGGATGGGTGGGATATTTTTTTGACCGTATGGCCAGTTGTTGTGTATGTGTAACAATGGTAAGATGTACATGTGTGTGCGTGCCTATTGAGCGTATCTATGAGTGCGCATTGAATTAAGTTTAGGGGATGATGTGTGGGTGGATTGGTGTGGTCGGTGCATAGTTAGATGTTGTGAACATGTGTTGAGTGTGTACGGTGAGTTGTGTGTATGTGTGATGAGTCTGTATGTTTTGCATGTTGAATAGCGTGGAATGGGGTGGGTGGGTGGGTGCATCATCCGCTCAGCTGGGCTTCGTCCGTTCCATGCTCCATTCTCCACGCCCTGTTATTGCCAAAATTAAAATTAAAAACACACGCTCACTGACGTCACCTCCCTCCCGCTCACCCGCACAACCTCCTCCACCCTCACCCGCTCACCGGCACAGCCAGCCACCTCACTCCCACGCTTGCTCACCCCCCCGCTCACCACCATTCTTCACTCTCTCTCATTTTCTCGCACATAAACTCCACATTGCACCTGTCGATGAACTCTGAATTCACAGTTAACCCTACCTGCCCATGCCCACCCTCAATCCCTACCCTCTCTCCCACCTCCTTGCACCCACTCACATGCACCTGATCACTTTTAGGTGCACACCTTCCCACCGTCATTCACATGAACAACTACACAAACTCCCTCACCTTCACTTACCGGTCAGAGCTCACCTTGACTCCTATTTATCCACACCCACGGATTTAAACCGGACAAGACAGGTGTCCTTTCACTCTGTGGATTGAAAGTTACGACATTCAGATGCCAAACGTTAATTGTTTTGTTGGCCTGTGACTCTCCTTTAAGACTCGTTTAAACCCAGCGCTGTTGCACCACTAATTCCCTCCACTTTGGATCGCTAATTGATTTGGACGTGTTTTGAGGAAACCCGAGAGACTCCGTGATGGAGGAGGTTGAGGGTTTTGGATTTGTGGGTAGAGTGGCCTCAGCGGTGAGCGCTATCGCCCCCCCCCCCTCAAACCGAGAGTTCACGGATTCAAACCTGACCTTTGACCTCTGCTGGTCATTACACATAGAGCAAGTGGAACACATGGTTCAGGGAGTAAACACATTTATAGAAAAATAATTGGACTTGGGCAGGATCCTTCATAACAAGAAGGGATATGTGGCATGGCCTGTGGTCAAGACTGACGACGGAATAGCATACAAAGAATGGAGCATGCCCTAGAGGATGTCCATTGCAGAGATGGAGTCAGTGATTCCATCGCAAGACTTGGCATAGACATAGCAACAGATTGGGGAGGCATTCATCCAGCAGTGCATAAGATCATGGCTAATGATGAATAGAATGATACAGTTTAGGTGTCATCTTATGTGGTGAATAACAACAAATGAAATGTAACAATATTTACACTACACGGCATGATGGGTAATATACCCACAATCCATTCGAAACCCAAAACATTACAGTTGTCATTTTCCCACAAAATGCTTTGCAGCATAAACAGTATTTATATTGGCCAATGTGAGGCGGGAGTGGGAGATCACATGTGAAATGATTCACGGTGATGGCTGGTGGTTGCAATATGAGGCAGTACAGTAAGTAGGATTCTGACGGGGTCTTCTGAAAAAGGTTTTCTATGCATTCGCCTTTTGTATCTATGGGCTGTCTCTGGTTTTCTGCCATATACGCACACAAAGCTTCATATATGAATTGGCTAATCATCACACAGACCCTCGTGATAATAATTCTAAGAGGTTCCGTGAGGCTTTCCTGGGATAAAATTTCATCAAGAATTCAAACTTGCAGCAAAACATGTTTTTTTTCAGTGCCCATTGGCACAATAGAGGATCGTCTGATGTGTCGGCGTTCTCACTATAAATTTTCATAGTGGGGGGCGGGAGGGGTGTAGAAGCAGCTAAATGGTAACAATAGCCGAATAAACCACGAGTAGAAATAGACCCAACGTGCTTCGAGCACATTTTCTTTGTGGACGATACTAAGAATATCATCCCAGGATAGGGTCAGCAGCTTGGAAGTTCTGGAATAGAACATGGCAAGTAGTCAGTGTTGGAAGAGGAGTTGCAGATGAGATCAGAGAAGAGAGAGGGGGAGGTTACGATGGTTGGGACACATGTGGAGGATGATGGAGGAGGGCAAAAATTGACTACTGTAGTCAAGTCCCAAAGCCAGAGATGGTGGTGGTGGTGGTGATCATGAGACTGAGAGTAGTCCCCGAAGGATATAGCGACCGTTTAACGAGTAAAACAGACCTTGAGCCAGGTGGTGGAAGTCGAGTGATTTTTGCAACAGCTGTGGAATCTAGCGTAAGGAAGTAACCAATGGCAAGCGGAGTGGTGGCATTGGCAGCATTGGCTGTGTATGTATGTTGAACTTCTTTTGCACCGTACGTAGCCAGCATACTCATCAGGGGTGCGGGGGGAAACCAACAAACTAAGTACAAAAAAAATGTAACCCGTAAAAACAACGTTTTTCACTATCAATCCTTTATATGCGTGGCATCGGTTTTATTTTATTATTCATTTCAGTTTTTCTTGAGTAAGAGTTTCATTTTTATCACATTGGTATTTTAAATTAAATATGAATTTTTTTTTCCCCTAAAAAGTGGAAAATTTTGGGGGGGGAAAAATTTCACGAAAATAAATTGTCACGCACAACGAGTCTGTGTGCAAAATGTCAGCTCGATTGGATCACGGGGAGTGGGTTAAAAAACGACCGAAAGATTTGCACGGTCGTAAGCGCTCAAGCAAGCATGCAAGTGAACTTAATAAAGGATTTAATAACTTCTAAAGAGAGATGGCTGTGGTGACGTGTGGTGTTCGTACGATGATTGTTGTGTTCTCTTTGTGTCATACACAGGCGCCACACTGGGCTGCTGCGGAGGTGTTCTACTGAGGGGGAGCGCTCGTGAAACCTTACCGGCTTCTCGCCCATCACCGTGTTTTCTGAATGAATCTCTCGTGGTATGAGAATCGGGCTCGTGCACATTTTTACGGCAGTTTATTTTTGCCAAATGACTCGACGAAACGAGAAATAAAGATGGAAAACCCAGACCAAACCTGCGTCTCCCGCGTTGTCATGGGTTCACATTCGGGCTGCCCCCGCCGTTCAGCAGACTGGACAGTGTTGGCAGTCGCCCTACTCCCGAAGCCATCGCACTGCTCGCAAACTTAAACCTGGACGTATAATTTTTCGATTTAAATCCTTCGTGACTGCAGGATTCATCTTCTTGGTTCTTTCGGTAAAGTCAAGTAGAATGGAAATAATAAAATGATAAAAATTCAACATAATAAAATAATTCTCACGACGTTTCGGCCACAACGCAAGCAGCCGTCCTCGGGTGGAGAGCAGGTCTGTCGAGTAGACAAGAGTCTGAATGACACACCCAGGCTTGGAGCGACTATTTAAGCTGGGATGCAGGTGGGACGTATAACTTGCACTAACTTGCCACAAGCTCGAACGAAGAAGAATGGGCCGACGATCAGCCAATCGTTTACCGGCGTTCGCGGTCACGCGGTGCGTTGGCCAATCGAATGTTCCGTAACGGAGCGGTGCACCGTTACATGCAATGGCTCTTCTGATTGGTTTGGGGGGCGGGGGAGGGGGACCTTGTGTCACCTTGGATATCTGGCATCTGATTTGTCCCAGAGAGTCACGTCGTCGCCAGTTATTATTCACTCGGTGCACTCGAGAAACGGTGCCTTAACGCGGCGAGAGAGTTTGTGTACGTCTGAGAAAGCTGATCGCTATACCGTCGAGAGCCTAGTGCTCTCAGAAGGGTCACCCAAGGCGGGAAGACTTCAGTGGAGACGTCAGACAAAACCCGTTTCGAAAGGTCCCCACATGACCTTTTCAAATAAATTGTGATCCAAGAAAGCAACGGAAACTACTTGGATTATTCCTCCTTCGAAAACTTCAATGATGACAAGCAAAATCAACAAAGGCCCTGAGTATCGGCGTCCTTTAAATAGGACAGGGGTGCTAAGAATCTCCGAGCTTGTGTCAAAGCAGAAGTAGAACATGCAATCAAAACAGCTAAGCCAGGCAAAGCGTGCGGGCCCGACACAATCCATGTAGAATTGCTCAAACTATTAGACCGGGACCAATATCATCGTGAAGTCGCACACGCCGTTAGGCAGCACTAAAGAGAGAGAGAGAGCACTCCACCGACATACACTGCACACCCGTGTAAACTTACAAACGCAAAAACAATACGGGCAAAGATTCTGCGTTGGCTTCTGTAGATTGTCGGGGATTAGTGCTGTGAGTGAGCAATCAAGACCAGCCGGTCACATGAGAGCGTGATGTGTGGTATGATCATTCCCTGGTGCAGCCACGTTTGTCTCACGAGTGTTCACAAACCGCGCTGGCCAAGGCGGCCCTCTGGTACCTTTTGCCACTAAAGTGCATCGTGGCTGAGAATGGAGCCTTTGTTGCCAGAGTTGTGTCGTGCAAACAGCTTTACCACCTCTCTTGTTTCACCAACAGTTGGTGTGTGTGAACAATTCTACAAATATCTCCTGTTCAGCCTGACAGACCGTTGAGACGTGCGCTGTTAGCAGGCGTCTGTTAAAGGCCAACATAGCACACAAGTATGTTGTGTTGGCCAATGCCATGCCTGGCTGTCCAGGTGCTCGTTTAAGGCCAAATTAACCTAAGCGAGTCCTGGGACAGCCTCCGACCACCTATTGCCACTGATGTTGACCACAGTTGGCAGTCAAAACTCGGCTTGCATAGTGAAGAAATGGGCCACTGCACCAAACCGATTGACACGGACACGTGCGTACGATGGGCTGCCATTTTCTGAGACTAATATTGCAGCCGAAGCAGTAAGACTACAGCGCACACGAACCGATTCAAGTTGGCTGAGACGGGCCCGGGCATTTTTACACCAAAATCCTAAGGGGGGTTGCCTTCCTTCGCTTGGCCGTCCCAACCTCTGGCATTTCCACCCAGTTCCCCGGCGTGTGCTATTTATCAATATTAATGCTATAACTTTAGATTGTCTCTGGCACTTCTCCATCGTCTGAACAATCCTAAGCTGGGTGGAGGGGGGGGGGAGAGTGCCGCAGTTTGGCCGTCGTTTGCAGCTTCCTTGGCCATTTTCTGCAGCAAGATCGTGAAATGTCCCCCAAAGGAGGAGGGAGGGTGAAGCTCTCTGCCAGCAGCAGCAGCAGCAAGTGCATCCCCGTGGCACATAAGATTAAAAACGAAAGCAGCACGCACAGTCCAACACGACGTGCGTGTGTGTGTGTGTATATATAGTGGTCTAAACGAGACCGCGTCTCAAGACGCCGTTCGCAAACAGTGGGGCCGAATATTTATTTTGCGGAGATGCTGCCAGTCGTAGGCAGACACGTAGAGGAACGTGAATGACCCTAAATTTCGATTTAAAGCTTTCGTGACTGCAGGGATTCATCTTCTTGGTTCTTTCGGTAAAGTCGCGTAGAATGGAAACAATTAAAATAATAAAATAAAACAATAAATTAATCTCACGACGTTTCGGCCACTACGCAAGCAGCCGTTGTGGCCGAAACGTCGTGAGAATTATTTTATTATGTTTTATTTTATTATTTTTATTGTTTCCATTTTACGTGACTTTACCGAAAGAACCAAGAAGGTGAATGACCCTGTACTTGAACAGGCAGACAGTCTCTTGTGTGAAGCTATACAATGCAATTTGTTTTTATATATAGTCCGAATGCAACTCTATCTCAAGACACTTTATAGTAGCAGGGGGAGGCAGTCGGGCATAGGCAGGAAAGAAAATGTGAAGGTCTTGAGGCCAGAGTGGGACATGCGTGGAGGGTTTTTTTATTCTTGTTTATGGCAATACGTTTAAGAGAATTGCCAGTGTCGAAGTTTACTTACCACGAGAGCACAGACTAACAGTGGTTCACTGTCTTGTCCATAGGGAGGGAGTTGAAACTAAATCTGAACTATTTTTTATTTTACCAGGCGAGGTCCACAAAGCTACATAGCTCTTTTTGCAGAAGCGACTTGGCCCCAAATGATGGCTCAATGAAGTGGCTTATGTGGAAATGTATAGCAGCCAAATACTCTAAAACAAATGTTTCTAAAAGTGAAGGGGGAAAAACGGAGGATCCGGAGCAAAATCCACGCGACCACGGGGAGAGAACATGCAAACTCCAAATAAACAGGTGTCAGGGTCTGGATCGAACCCACGACCTCCTGTATACCAGGCAAGGGAATTCACATCTCGCCATCATCAAGGCCGGTCTTTCCCAATTGGACACACCCAGAATTCACCACTCGACGGACAATCGCAATTTCTACATCGCTTCTTGGAAGGCTGCAAATACATATTTACAATTATTTCAGAAGATACGTACTCGGGGCAAGGTCCATATATCGTCCGAAAGGCGTCTTCCCGCAAGCGCACTTTGATCCAGCGTGTAGCGTTCTTTCTTCTGGAAGGTATTTCTTGCGTGCCCAAATAACTCGCAGACTCATCTTCCATCTGACTCGAGATAATCAACAGTCCAATAATTGGTCTCGTGCGCACTGGGGCGGTTTTTGGCACCCAACAGGGAGATCAATAATGAGGGTATCACGTAACCTATTAACTAAGAGTGAAGGAGAGCTTTCTGGACACCTCGTGCATCGGTTGTTGACGCGGTTAGCGGGGAGATGGCGTCCAAAGGAGATCGACAACTGAACGTTCTTAAATATGATTCCAAATTTCGATTTAAAGCTTTCGTGACTGCAGGGATTCATATTCTTGGTTCGTTCGGTAAAGTCACGTAGAAGGGAAATAATAAAAATAAAACATAATAAGGTTAAATTCTCCTAGCTTAGCAGTGTTCATTAGGACGCTGTCTTTCCGACAGCCCTATTCTTCACCTGAGGACGGCTGCTTGCGTTGTGGCAGAGACGTGAGAATGTTATTATTATGTTTTATTATTTTATTATTTCCCTTCTACGTGACTTTACCGAAAGAACCAAAAATATGATTCCCTTGAACGCGAAACATCAACGTTGGTTTTCACGACCTTCCAGCACCCTTAAAATGCACGTAGCTTGGCACAAGCGCCATGGCAACGTCACCGTTTCGTCAAAAATGTCAAGCATCGCTGCTGGTGTCAGTATTGTATTTGGGGTGTAAAGGGTTCGATTGTATGCGTGCGTTAAAGGTAATGCTGCATATGCAAATACACTTAACTTCACCGAGTCTCGAAATACATTTTCAAGAGGATCCTGCACAGGCATGTTTAACCAAATGCCATAAGAGTAAAGCTAAATAATTCAAGCATGCTCTGTTGAAGTAGCAGACGGGCGGTTTGTCAGTCCTTGGGCTTCCCTAAATTTGTCGCCACTATCGTGAGAGGGCTGCTCATTAGAAGCCCCGTGGGAAGTTTTGGCAGCAGATGGCTGTGGCACAGAGGTCGCAAACGGGTTTTGATTCCTTACCCGTACCCTACCCGAAATGAGTGACAAACGGTTACTCACCAGTGACTCACGGCCTACCCATACCCGGCCGCACCAGGGTCGCAAACGGCTACCCGTACCCGGCCGGGTACGGGTAGCCGGGTATCGGGTAGGGTACGGGTATCGGGTACCCGGTTGCGACCTCTGCTGTGGCAGCAGCTGGCTATACTATATTGATGAGTCCTAAGAAGAATAAAACTGATTGGAAAAAGATGGTCGCTGCATCACACACTTTCAGATGTGCTTCGACCGTCTGGAACGCTCTTCCGATATTAGGAAGCCACTGGATCTATGCATTTTAAAATTGAAAACGAATTTCTTTAGAATCGTTTTTTGTTTAGTTTGTTGTCCTTCCCCCGCACCTCTGATTAGCACAGTTGGCCACGTACAGTTTGAATGAAGTTCAACATACAGTTAGCCTTGGCCTTTCCATGGCCTTGTGCCATTTGTTACGATGTAATCTTTACATGCAAAGCATGTCGGGATTCTGTTGTGTTTCTCTGACACCAATGTGCGCATGCTGTATATTATCAGATAACACTGGTCAACAAAAAAACACATGTTTTTCTGGCCTGGACTTTTGCAGCTGTTTTAGACTAATTTCAGGGTGCTGATTCCAAATCTGATCTCAGATTTGCTCTATCACATCTCATTTTTATGCTATCGGCATACCCCATTTCATTGGTTTTCCCCGAAATTAACTCTGTCACTTATGATTGCAAGTTGTTGCGAGCCAGTGACTGCTTTAGTGTTAAAATATGGTGCTGTGTTTTTTGGATAGTGTGATTATAATATTATTTTATGTAGATATCCACATTTATTTAATATTTTTCTTCTGCAGTTTTTATTGAAAATGCAATATTTGATATCTCAAAAACCTGATGTGATAGACAAAAAAACTGATGCCAGATTTGGAATCAGCACCCCAAAATTTCCTTAAAACCGTTCGAATACCTTATGCCAGAAAAAGTGTGTTGACCAGTGTCATTCGTGGCATGAGTGGCAGGATACGCTAGAACCTGGAGAAAACCCATGCATACAGAGGATTGACGCGCAAAGCTCCATACATATGTAGTGGGCTCAAACGGAGTCGCAGACGTGCTCTTTGGAGGCAACACATTTATTTGACAATAAACACTATACGACCTATGGTGGTGACCACCAGGCTAACTACACTAATCACACGGTAACGAGCTACCACGGACAGGACCACAGCTTGGGTCCAGGTCCACGTGTTGGAGACTCTTCTTGTAGAACGTAGAACGTAGCTTCTTCAGGATAACAACAGCAACCGGTCCATCTGGGGGACCCGGCTTATATCCTGTGTCGTGGGGCTCGCTCCGCCCTTAGCCACGGGCCGCCTTCTCGAATCGTCGAGCAGGATCTTGACCTGGACACGTGATCACCCCTAGCCCCCTTTTGGGTGGCCCCCGTGTAGACACCACCGGTCACGTGTTCTCCGGGGTCAACCAGAGTGCCATGGTCCCTTTAAACCCAATTCCGTGGCCGGCACTCTTGCACCGTATCCTGTAGGGGCCGGCACTGCACGCCGAGCGTGGTGCCATCCATCGCTGTCAGCGCTCACCGAGCCCCGCTTAAGGCCGGTACTGCATCCACATTCAAGTGGTGTCCGCGATGTCCATACATCGCACGCCGTGCCTCTCCCAGGCCGGCCTCACACAGTGACATCCAACGATGTCACACAGATTGCTTCCAAGAACCCACTGAACTGGACCTCATAATCAACGTTTTTGGGTTTAGATCGCGTTATTTATAAATGTGTCGTAACCCTCCACCACCCGACACGGCCAATCAGTAAAAAAGTGTCACGTTGACAAAAGACAAATTCGTTCACTGCTTTAGCCCACCGGTGTGTTGAAGCGTGAAACCACAACATTTACAATTTTTGAGTACGACGTTTCGCTGATAATTGCATCCAGCATCATCGGGCAATTCGCCAGAATGGACCTGCCCTATCCTGGACACCTCGCAGGCCAGCAGCAGCAGCAGCAGCACAGGAGAGATGTGTATTATGGTGTGCAAGAAGTTCAACGTACATGGAATATGAGTGTGTGACGGGCTAGAGAAGAGATGGACTGATGTGGTGCAGAAGGATGTGGAGCTGATTGGGACCTGACGATGATTTATCCAGCACTGTCAATATCGGCCTCTGCGGAGGAGGTTCATGAAGGATGTGTGGGGGATTTGGAGGCAGTCGCCCTTCAACAACAACAACGGAGGGCAGAGAAGTGACGCTGCCAACGACGAGCGGAGCGCCGGGGTTGCTAAAGCACACTGGGGAGCACAGTTGATGTATCTGCTACTCATCTCAGCCGGTCACCCATGGCACCTGGGTCTGTTCCGTGACCTCCTGCCAGCGGGCCTTCGACACTTAACATGACCTCAAAGTGTACCTAGCATGGCACATGCGCTGTTGTGACGTCACCGCCACTTAGTGCTGAACGACGGTTGTTGTGGTATCGATGCATCCTATGCCCGAAAGTGGAGAGCTTACTGCAGCACATTGTTTGTAAGGTCAGATAGCCGCTCGACGGTACGAGGATGAATGGTGGCAGGGTTGTGAGGACATGTACACCGCCTCAGCCCGCGCTCACAAATCGCATTTTAAATCCGTCAAAAAGTAACTTGCAAGGCCACTGCCATTACTGTCCTTCCGGAGAAGAATAACGATCTGACCTTACGACCTCTCCAATGCCAGATTTGCTCGGTGTGTCTTGTGAGTTCGTGCATTAGGAAGGAACCCCTCAATCCGAGCATTTAGTCCATGAGCCACAGCAGAATTTGGTACCACCTGAGATAGTCAACCTCGAGTCCTACCGATGTATTTATGTTATACGGCCACCACGAGATAATTACTTGATAACCCCATGCATCTTCTTGGTTCTTTCGGTAAAGTCACGTAGAAGGGAAGTAATAAAATAATAAAAATAAAACAGAATAAAATAATTCTCACGTTTTTTGGCCACAACGCAAGCAGCCGTCTGACGCTGTCTCCCCGACAGACCTGTTCTTCACCTGAGGACGGCTGCTTGCGTTGTGGCCGAAACGTCGTGAGAATTTTATTCTGTTTTTTTATTATTATTTTATTACTTCCCTTCTACGTGACGACTTTACCGAGAGAACCAAGAAGATGAATCCCTGCAGTCACGAAAGCTTTAAATCGAAATGTAACCCATGCATATAAAATGCTTCTCACATCATTCACTCTTCTTGGTCACAACGATTGGAACCGCTAAAGTTATGCCACCTCTGGGTTGTACCGACAAGTGAAACGTCTCGGTCTGGCCTCATGGATTATGACCCTGATTGACCTGCGGTGCCTCAACTATTGAACGAAGTAGCTGCCCCCAGGTGAGTGGCTGGCTGACGGGGCTTCTGCCAAAGGATGTGCGGAGAGCGATCAGGGGCCTGGGACGATGATCTCTAAGGTGAATTTCTGAGGGAGGGTTTAGTCGGTGTGCATGGCAACTTGAAATGGCATTACTACTGCTTGTACTTTGTTATGAAACATTGCACCCAATGAACTCCGCGTGAGTACTGTAATGCAGTGGCTGTGAAGGAGGAGCGACGCTCACAACAACGAGCGGAGCGCCGGGGCAGCTAAAACGCAGCGATGTGGCACAGTGATGGCCACATCATTTCAGTCGTCTTAGTTTACGCCTTCAACACCGGGGCCTGACCCATCACCTGTCGGAGAGCATTTGACACTTCACGCAATAGCCTAAAAAGTGCACATAGCCTGGCACAACAACTATGGTGGATGACATTGCCTCTTGGGGCGGGGGGTGGGGAATGGTGGTTGTAGTCTAAGTTGGATATCCGTATCGGTTAGGGTTGCCTGTATGCATCGGAATGGGTGTGTACACGTGATATAAGCGGTTTCGCGCATTGGTTAGCGAGCTTCGCTGTGAACCTGAACAACTGAGTTCGATTCCCGAACACGTCAGTGGCGCGTGATATCTAGAACTGGTTCTGGACCAAGCCTAGGTCGACACAGCCTTGAATAAGTGCCTAATGGAGTGCGGTGTGTAAGCATCGGCACTCGGGAGACAAAGGCGGCCTGCCGTCGTACCACTCTTTCTCATAGGTGCTTTTTGACAGCACTTTGCGCTTGCTGTCTGTGCAGGCTACATGGGAGCTTTGCCTGTATGTGGACGTGGGCTGGGCGTGCGAGCTGCCCACCGCTAATGGGTCTGCGCGTGCCGCATTAATTATTCAGTAAAAACAAGAGCGAGTGTGACCGCACCCAACCTCACACACACACACGCACGTGTCCACCAACACACACACACGCGCATACACCCAATCTCACACACACACACGCACATACACCCAATCTCACACACGCACATACAGCCAACCTCACACACACACGCGTGTCCACCAAAACACACACACGCACATACACCCAACCTGACACACACACACACGTGTCCACCAAAACACACACACCCAATCTCACACACACACACACGTGTACACCAAAACACACACACGCACATACACTCAACCTCACACACACACACGTGTCCACCAAAACACACACGCGCACATACACCCAACCTCACACACACACGTGTCCACCAAAACACACACAAGCACATACACCCAAACTCACACACACACACGTGTCCACCAACACACACACGCACGCACATACACCCAACCTCACACACACGCACGTGTCCACCAGAACACACACACGCACATACACCCAACCTCACACACACACGTGTCCACCAAAACACACACGCGCACATACACCCAAACTCACACACACACACACGTGTCCACCAAAACACACACACGCACACACATATACTCATCTTCACTCAAACTCGTACACGTGCCCATGTACCTTTGGGTGTGCTGATCATCACCAAAATTTGCGAACCCAGTACATCACCATCCCTTGAATGTCTGCCATGAGACTAATGCGTATGGTCATTAGTCGGACTGTAAATACAATACTTGACCTTAGTAAACTGCATGTGCATGTGTGTGTGTGTATTCTATGGGGAGTCGTAGTGTAGTGGTCAGCGCACTGCACTTCGAACCCGGCGAATCGAGTTCCATTCCCGCTCATAGCCAACATCGGCGATGGATATTTGAGGCCAAATCCTGAGTGTCGCCTAGGTCAACTGAGCCTTAAATGAGTACCTGGGTGCCGTGTGCAAACATCACCACGGCTGAGACAAACGCAGCCGAACGTAGCGCTCACCACACACCTCCCCAATATTTGTGACCACACCGACACCGCTGCATTCCGTGGCCGTGCTGGCCTTAATATGATCTCGCTAAATTGCACTTGCCCCAACAAATCCGTTGAGCTACTTGGGGGATCTTTGCCTTTATTTGTATGTCAGGATACGCGTGCATGTGCGCGCGCGCGCGCTGCAATACGATCCTGGTGACCCACGTTCGATCCCTGGTCACGAGAGATCATCAGCTTCATCATCCCCCGGGGATCAATTGGTGTCTAAAGCTGGTTTGGGTCTCCTTTAGGTTAACTCGGCCCAATGTGGTGGGGTGGCGGGCGGAGGGAGTTATAGACCCAAGGGTTTGAGTGAGACAAATGCGGTCGGGCGTGTGTATGCTTCTGGCCGAAGCACCACGTTCTGTCCCGGCCTTAATAATAATATGCATTGGCTAGCAACACTTAACGTCCCACAAGGTCTAAAATGGTAGTGGGAGGTTGTAAATAACGTTTTCAATAAATAATGTGCCGTCAATTTAAACAACATCCAGGTGCATCAGCCTATCTATCAATCGGCGTTCTGAACCAACATTTTAAAGCAGCATTTGAAATCGTCATCATCAGCCATGGTCGATCCACCGTTGGATCAAAGCCTTCCAAAGCCGTGCCAGGTCACTAGAGTTGTTGTTTCACCATACTTTATGACTCCCCCCCACCCCCCCAAAAGGAGAGGTAGGGGGAGTGGTATCTGTTGAGATATCATCACGCACCACCGATGTTAGCCGTGGTCGTGAATCGAACTCGGTTCGCCGAGTTCGCAGCGAAGTGCGGCTTATCCACGGCTTCCACGCGTCATTTGTTTAAGCAGACACAACCTTAGAAGGGTTTCGACTTTTCTGGGTCTCATCGGCAGAGTGTGACCCACGTAATCATTATTATTGATGAAAACAGGCGGCAGTCTGTTTTACGCGTGAATCATGTTTTAGCCCCCCACCCCCCCTCAATCATCCCATGAGATTCTAGACCAATGATTTGCAGCTGTCAAACGCAACACGTGGGAGCGGTGGCGTCGTGGTGAACGCGCTGAGCAGCAATGTTGGGGTGTCGGGACTGTTGGCTACTGGTCACACGTGCCGTCTGACCAGGTTCTAGAGCGTGCCGACGAATATTCGGTGAGAAATTCCGGTTTAGTTTGTTCAACCCATGCAGGTGGGGAAGGCAAGTGACCAGGAAAGTATATTCTTAGGTTTTTTTCGGTAAAGTCACTTAGGTAAAAACATTAAAAAGTAAAATAAAATCACGACGTTTTGGAGGCAACACAAGCTTCCGTCTTCAGGTGGAACCGTCACAGCCACGACAGCTGTATCAAGTAAATGAGAGATTGCAGGAGCTACCACTCCGTTTATATAATGGTTGGAGAAGGTGGTGGGGCAAGGGCCGCATACTTATTATTAATATGGTACCCCCACAGTCGATGTGGAGGTTGCACGTGGTGTAGGATAAAGTGTCGGTACCGCCAAGGCGTGTGGCTAGCGAGGAAGAGTAGGCCAAATACAACTTTCATATTATTATTAAAGAGCCCATCGATACCTTATAAGAGAGAGCTGAGATTTGCTCAAAAGTCCACAAGAAGTATTGCCGGTGAGTACCACCTTGGGTGGCAATGCTACTGGTTTGCACCACGGGAAGTATCCACCATGGCAGTGTCCACCAAGAGGCGTGACCACCTCGGGAAGTGTCCACCATAAGGCAGTGTCCACCACGGGAAGTATCCACCATGGCCAGTGTCCACCAAGAGGCGTGACCACCTCGGGAAGTGTCCACCATGAGGCAGT